ATTCCTCAAATAAAATAAGTTGCCTCAGCTTATAAGGTAAATAAAATCAGCATTTCTCAAATAAGTAGCTGCCTCACCTCACTGCCTTACTGCTACATAGCCTTCCCGGCATGGTGCCTTCTTTTGATAATTACTTGTTCCACACCCAAATTGTATAACAGGAAGAGGACTTGGACCCCTACTTCCCTCTCTCTTTTTTAATAATCTATATAGTCATAATTATAGCTTTAAGTATTCAATGAATAAAGTTTTTGACATTTTTACCCTTTTCCTTACCTAACATCATTTGTGCAGCATATTTTTATTTTATGTCTCACCCAGATTTAATTTCAAAATAAAACCAAACTAAATAAATTAGAAATGGGTATGTATAGCTAAGGTACACCCTTACTACTAGGTGAACAGGGGCATTTGGTGATAGTAAATGATCCCATCAGGCAGGGCTCATCACCTTCTCTCATATTTCATGTTCACCAGTGTTTATTTACTTAATAACTACTGGTATAATATCTTGCTATTATAAAACTAATTCTACTATCATCAAACACACATTTACTTCAAGTTTCAAGCAGAGAATGCATATATAACTAACACGAAGGACTCCTCTCCACTAGATTCACCAGCTATAATATTTTGGTCATGTTCCAATATCATAAATCGATCCCAGTGTTATGTAGTAGAGAAAAAATGACTTATATCCAGTTTACGTAAAGCTACGAGTGGTCGAAACCACACTTAAATCCCGGAATGAACTTACGAAGGTTTTTCCACTTAGGGTAGTTAATTGAATACGGACGTAGCCGCCACGAAGGCGCTAAGACGGAAAACGCTCTTGTCTTTCATATTCATTATAGCAAAAGGTTCGTTCAGTGTTTGTTGGGTAGGCTGCTCCATTATGACAATCTTTCTTTGTTTCAAATGTGTTCCATTAGTTTTGTATTTGTCACTTACGTCTCAATAATGGAGCAGCCTACCCGACAAACACTGAACGAACCTTTATGGCATTTGTCCATTTTTCAAATTGTTTCAACAGTTCTTTTATTTTTCGTTTTTTTTTTTTTATTTAAGAAACGTGGAGCAGCTGACCTGTAGACAACCGAACGAACCTTTTTGACATTTGTACTGGTTTTCAAAATTCTTCATTTTTTTTATTATTTACGTTTTTTGTATGTAAGAAACATGGAGCAGCCTACCTGCCGACCACCGAACGAACCTTTTGCTATAAGACAAATGAAAAAGAAATATTGAACACATTTGAAGAAAGGAAAATGTCATAATGGTTTATTCAGTGTATGTAAGGTAGGCTTCTCCATTATTGAGACGTAAATGACAAATACAAAACAAATGGAACACATTTGAAACAAAGAAAGATTGTTATAATGGAGCAGCCTACCTGCCGAACAGCGAACGAACCTTGTTGACATTTGTTGTATATCAGACATTTCATTTCTTTTTTCCTACAAAAACGTCAATGCTTTGCAACATCTCAGCAGTCACCCTTTTATATCCCAGCATCATTAGCATCTTTAAACAAGAACAACATAATTTATGTGCATCGTCGGAGGCGTCTAAGAATGTGCAAGAAGCAGCGCGACCCCACCGTGTGGTGTTGACGTTACTCAAACCAGCGTTCGTCATACGGGACGATTTGACGCCGATCGGGCCGTTCGTTACCCAAAATGTTCGTCTTTTGGGGCGATCATTATGCGAGGTACCACTGTACTTATCAAGCATTTTTGCTAATAACCTCCATTTCAATTGCAACCCTGTAAATGCTTCATCCATGCACTTCAAAATGTGAATAATTTCCAACAGAACCTAAAATATTTAAGCTACCCTATGCATGACTATTCATAAAACTTTAATATGTAATTATATTAATTTACGTGAGAAACCTATTTTGAATACACAATGTCAAAATTGATAAATGCATCTATAGACCTGTCTATAGATGCATAAACAAGCCTAGCCAAGAACACGTTGGGTAATGAGAGCGTAAGACTTTAGTAATGGCTACAGGCAATGTACAGCTATGGTAGTAAGTTTGTGTGTGAAGCTAAGGCAATGCTAGCTGCTTACCTATCAGAGACCGTAGGAAACCAAGATTTAACTCTATGCCCCGCCTCCTAGCTGTTCATACCTGGCACGGTGTGGGGATATCGGTACAAGGCTAAGTATGACGCACTACAAGGTTAGATGTGCAGTAGCTGAATAAGGCTGGATGTGGTTATAGCGGTGTAGCTATAGCAGTACTATTATCAAGACAATGCCAAGCACAAAATGCTATAAAAGCACTCGCAGAAGTGCGAGTGAATATATTCAAAAGTATCTATTCAGGATGCCAATGCAAGAGCAAAACCCAGCATTGACTAATGAAATACCTCTTTCTGGTAGAGCCCTGGTGGTTCCCTGAAGTTATCTTGCTGAGAGTGCTCCATCTAATGAGTCACATCAGCAGTAGGAATTCTGTTTGGTCTACCGGGACCTGCTTCCCCCTCACAGAGATGCAAGGAGCAAGTGACAATCTGCCACTCCACCAGAAAAAGCATCCAGAGAGTCGGTGAAGCTTTAATTAAATGAAGCCTTGAAACTGCCAAACAACTCTGCAAACAATCCAAATGAAACAAGATAATCACACTATACTAGTTCAAACCCTTTAGTTGCAATAACTGCCACCAGGCAGCCTGGCCCCAGCCTGGAGCTGGCTCTCCTGGTCAATTCAAGAGCCGAGCAACGAACCTGGAGGAAGGGCTTAATATTAAATACTGGGCTGCCAGAATCCTGTATAATCCCCCCCCCCAGAGCCAGATTATCAGCTCAGGACAAAGTGGCATCTTTGCAAACATCATGAGCTTGAGGTTAGACTGCAGGCTGGCTAGACTTAATGACTGAATATTCGGCAAAATGTGAACCTTGGAACAGATCAAGGAAACTTTTTCAACCCACAACATATCAACCTGGGCAGAACCGGCAAAACCCCCTTGGTTATCTTGAGGTTATCTTGAGATGATTTCGGGGCTTTTTAGTGTCCTCGCGGCCCGGTCCTCGACCAGGCCTCCATCCCCAGGAAGCAGCCTGTGACAGCTGACTAACACTAAGGTACCTATTTTACTGCTAGGTAACAGGGGCATAGAGTGAAAGAAACTCTGCCCATTGTTTCTCGCCTGCGCCTGGGATCGAACCCAGGACCACAAGTCCAGCGTGCTGTCTGCTCGGCCGACCGGCTCCCCCCCCCCCTGATGCTGGAGAAGTGCGTGGAGCTCCCCGATAAGGTAGCCAGAGGTGAGGGCCAACAAGAACAGTAAGAATGACATAATGAGCTGAAGGGGAACCGAGAACTGAGGCGAGGAGCTAAAGCCCAAAACAACGTCCAGGAACTAGGATGGCTCGGGAGGAGCATGAGCAGCACATGAGAATAGTGCTGAAGAAGAATCGATGCTGAATGTAATCAGTGGCTCCAGCAAAGTTGAATGTTAAGATGCATCAGTATTAAGCATGAGATGTCAATCAAGAAACCACCAAGACAAATAAGATAGGACCACCCTGACTGAGACAAAGAGATAATGATGAAGCATCTCATGCTTCCATGAGCAAATGAGCACCAGGCAACTTCATTCTGCTGCCACAAAGAAAGCTGCAGGTGGGACACCAACAACACCTCTTACCACACAAAATAGCAATAGGCCCACATAAAAAACTCCAGATGTGTAAAGCAAAGAGGTTTGAACCAGCGAATTACATTGCCAGGACGATCCGCTGAAAGAGGTGGAGCCACGGATAAACACCCTTTTTTGATACTGGGCTAAAAGCAACTCCAGACTGGACAGAACCCAGAACAACAATTGAATTGGGAAAAACAGGCAAAATGCATCCACAGCAAAACTTGCAATCGGAAAATGGAGCCACGGAAAAGAGAAGGTTCCACACTTGCATGCAAAGGTCCACCTTGGTGTGACTTGGCATCCTACAAAGTCAATGGAAGGACTCGTCATCTACAGTCCACGTGGAAATTGAATGGAAGCGAGATAATGTCTGAGAATGTTGGAAACACCCTACACATGAACCACATGAATCCCAAGACACCAGAAGCTGAGCTACATAAAGCATCCAGTTCCAAAGGGAAAGGAACCGAACGGACCCCCTATTCCTCCCTTCAGTTCAGGTAATAGACCACAGAAGAACAATCTGAGAGGAGACAGAGTACAGAGCATGGAGGAAGTCAAATTCACCCCAAAGCATGCCTCTCAAACTCATACATCGTACTGTGCACCTGAAGGAACAGCCTCAACCACTGACCCAGGGTGCCCTGTTGAAAGCTGGTCACGTAGCCCCCCCCTCCCAGAACCAAGGTTTACATGAACACATCAAACAATGCTGTACTGAATGAGGAGAGAATAGCTTGAGCTACCTCATCCCTGTGTGTATTTATACCTCGATAAACTTATTTCAATTTCAATCAAACAACTGGGTAGGATGATGAATGCTGCAATACTAAATCATCATATATGGAGTAGAAAATGTAGATAATTTGTGCCTAGAAATAGCAAAATGATTAACAAATCATTTGGGAATATTCAAATGTAGAGGTTATTGGCAATTTCTGCAGGAAATACAATGCTCTGAGGATGAGAAAAATCTCAATAGAAATGTGCCAAGTTGTACCTTAACCTTTAGAATTATAGATACTAATTGTTGTTTTCTATATATCAGGAGCCTCTTATCACATTTCATTATGAAATTGCCTCAGTCTTATTATCTCTGCTCATTTGTATCTGATACTCTAGTATACTATAACTTATTAAGCTCCATGATGAAGATTATGTATATGAGGGCCATTATCCCATTTAAAAGGTTTGCTTGAAAAACTGTTCATGATTAGTGGTCTTAAAAGATAAAAATAGCAATGCTGAATCATGTACCAATACATAAAATATAACCAGGATATATATTAAAAAAATTAATTATTTCCCTATGTATATTATGGGAAATAAAAGTTCCAATAGTGTGTCATCTTTACTAGAAATTGCTAAGAAAAAAAATCCCTTAAAACTAACATAATATGCCTACTTTGCCAGACTGGCCTCAAACTGTAACTAAGAATTTAAAAAAAATCAGATCTCAAACTTAATGCACAAAAACTGTGTATGAAGTGAGCTAAATAATACAGAACTTGGCAGCCATATTGCCCAGCCAATGGAATATGGGACTGGCACCCAAGGAATGAATATTACATGAGTGGTTTGCCTGCTCAAACATGGTATCATAGCTGAAAGTTAGAGGAGAAAACTAGTGACCTGCAAATGCAAACACTTGCATGGTAAGACCTCTTTTTATCATCCCTGATACCAGAAGTTACTACAAGACTCCAAGTTTGGTTCCAAGTCAATATAGACTCCAATGAATAAATCCATACCCCAAGAGCAACATTTATGTAAGCAGCGGCAGTTGACCACAAAGCCAATATACGTCTTTTTACAAATACCATTAAAAACTTGGAACTTAGTGAATCATTTATTAAGTAAAGGTTTCTTCTTGATGGTCTGCCATAGTTGGAGCATACAATACTTGTGACATAAAAAGTGCACTTTTAATAGTAATAACTTATGGAACCCCATAAAACAATACCATACTCTGAGTCTATCAGGACTCATAATATCATAAAATTTACCTAAGGGTGACATCAGGATAAATAAATAAGAGCCTCAAATACTGAGGCCATGGCTCTATATTACCAATGAGACCAACAGTTGTTACTCTCATATTTGACTTAAATTTCCCTTGCTATGGTACCTTCTATCTGTAATAATATATTATAATTACATTACAAAGCTACAGCATCGGTGAAGCTATCCTTCGTTACCTCCCCTTTCCTTTCCCCACGTTCCTCACACTCAGGGCAGGGGGGGGGGGACCTCAGCACAAAGTCAACAACTGAGCCTATGTAAGTACATGGCAAATCTACATCTAAAAGCATTTTAGTTTCATGTAGCCACTGAATATTACCACTGCCCAAATGACTGTTATACAGTATATTCTTTCTTGCTGCAGAGTACGTCTCTTATCTTTAAAGATCCTATTAGCTAAAGAATGATTTCCAGCTTTTAAATTATTATGTCAGATTGTTGACCAGACCACACACTAGAAGTTGAAGGGACGATGACGTTTCGGTCCGTCCTGGACCATTCCCAAGTCGATTGTGAATGGTCACAATCGACTTGAGAATGGTCCAGGACGGACCGAAACGTCGTCGTCCCTTCACCTTCTAGTGTGTGGTCTGGTCAACATACTTCAGCCACGTTATTGTGACTCATCGCCTATTATGTCATATTTTTGTATCATTTGGTCTAATTATTATTAATAGTAGACCTTTATGGGAAATGTGTTCATAATTATTTTTCTTATATTACACTTACACTTACACACTTACACTTACACACTTACACTTACACACTTACACGCACACACTTACACTTACACTTACACACACACACACACACACACACACACACACACACACACACACACACACACACACACACACACACACACACACACACATACATTTTCAAGGCAATTCAGTGACTAAGAATTTTTATATAAATACTAAATAGATTGACAGACATCTGGTCAGCTGTTTTGACTTATAGGTGACAATGAATTCAGTCCACAAAAATTCAAGATGTTTTTCAAAAACATTTAATATTAAAAAGCTATTAATAAAATTTGACTATGAATGTCAGGTGTGAATAATGCTGGTATTGCAGGTGGAGACCCACAGCCTTGCAGTAGGAACCCACAAACATGGTACCTATTCAGTACACACTGAAGAACTACTGTACTTTGAACAGCATACATTTCCACCAGCACCATTCAAGAATCCAAAATACCTTCACTCCATAATTTCAAATCTGCAAAAATTTGTTTAACCACCCTAGAATAACAAGTGAAAACAAACATTGTGATGAATTATAGAAAGAGAGCAAAAACATTTTTTATGATGGGGATGGGGGGGAATGGGTCTGTTCTAACAGTTCATTTCATCACAGACCGCTCAACAAGATAACAGGAACAGACAGATGATCCGTGTAAAATAGAGAGCAGAGTAAATCATCAACCATCAGCACTACTAGTAACGGATCTGTCATCAGCATATGGTGGTGGTAGTAGAAGTAGCTCAAATTTTATAAAATACTGGCAGGAATATGTGATTCCAAGGGTTCATTCAAGTAATGCACAACTAGGTGACCACTCTAATCTACCAAATAATCATTGGTTTGATTTCATGCTGACCACTGATCTGTTAACTACGTGTACTCACCTTGATCATTTATCCTTGAGGCTAGTAAACTATGCCCAAAAAGAGGGTTTCTGTTTTACATTCTAAAAGAAAAGAAAGAAAAAAATGGAAAAAAAAAAATGCAGTACCTTATTTTGTCCAACTTTGGTTCATGCTATCACACGAGCCCCACAAGAGCCAACCATCTTCTTTATTTCCAAGCTGCATCTGTAGCTGGAGGAAATTGTTTATTTGATCATTTCAATGTCATGCCAACACACACTTGGGTATTCATATTCAACTGCATCACCAAGCTGCTCACTTGTTTCTTCTTGCCAGTCTCGAAAGCCATCTTGCAACTATAGTTAAAATGTCCCTTGTTCAAAATATAATATCATGCTGCATTTGAGAACGTTTCTGTAATTCATCATAAAATACTTAACAACTTGCTACATAGTTGAAAATGTTCAAAACCCAACTTCAAACACTATGGCATACTTGTGCCAGTACCAAGTCAAACTCACTTATCTGATAATATTTGAGCTAAGGAATCAATATGACTCTCTTGCTTAAGTGGTTACTGGACAGACGAGTTGTGTCAACTTGAAAATGTAGAAAATAAGTCACTTGGAATACAAGTCAATGATTCTCTTAACCATACTGCTAAGAGTGCATACCATTACAAGGAACAACAATTTTTTTTTACTACACTGTATGCTCTGTTTTTCAGTATTTTAGTTCATTTAATACTATGTCCACCAGAACAATGTTTTACTTTGTAGTGAAAAACTTTAAATATCGATCAACTATTGCAAACCACATCTCTTTCAACTCGGGTAATTGTATGTAAACAAAGACGAGGAAGAAAACAATTGAAGCTGTAACGACAAGGCGGGTTCGCGTCTGAAGTAGTGGTGTCAGGATATTGGCCACTGTTGCTACTACCAATAACAAGACCTGAAAGAATTTAAATTTTCATTATACTGTACTCTATTCACAAAACAAAATCAAATTGTAATAGAGTAATACTGTGTTTCACTTTGTACATCACTAATAAAATTTGAGCATTATCTGTAATCATTTTCACTAACAATAAATTGAAGTATGCTTCAAACATTTACTAAAATAAAATACTTTGGTAATGAGAATGTATTACGAGTTACTGCCAACATAAGAATACTTTACAGTGTGCTATTACCTGAAGCACAGTTAATAAAACGTTGATGAGCTTTACAAACACAGCTCGTGCATTGCTGTTCTCTAAACCTTCTAATGTGAGATATTGTTGCTGCTGTTGTGCTTGCTGATGTTCCATCCGGGAAATCTGGCCAGAGTATAAATGACATTTAGTAACTTATAGTTAAAAAATAACAATGTTTAATTAGTTCTTATATCAATTGGAAAAGTATAAAGAGTAAAGACCTGGGGTAAATAGTGGTTTGGAAACAGTGTTGTTTTATGTAATAAATTATTAGATAAAATAATAGATGTGGGATTGCTGAACTGTTTTAACCATAGGTTAGAAATATATGAATGAGTTTGGGTGAATATTAATAAGACCTGCCACGTATGGGCCAATAGACCGCCTGCAATTTCCATTACTCTTATCTTCTTAATTACAAATACAATATGCTGTATTCACCATACAACTTTTGTTTATCTTGTACAGTATATGTTTTCAAAAAATGTTCTCTCTTTCCAAAAACACACACAGCATTTTGATGAGCACAACAATCTGTTCTGTGCACACACCATTATTCATATACAACAAATGTTAAAAATTTGACTGAATGCAACATAAAATGTGATATAAAACATATGCACAGAAGTTACAAAACAAAAAATATCCCCCATTACCCTATAAAATTCAATAGTCTCCCTCTAAATTAGTATCATAAGGTTAACCATTAAACTAAAAAAAACATTAACCTTATTAGATTCTTAACAGGATGGAAAATGGGTATGAAGCATAAAAGAAATTAGATTCATACTGTCATTACCTCATTAAGATGAGGTAAGTGACAGTATGAATTACCTCAGTGCCCACCGCGGCACAGTCTCTGACCAGGCTTCGTGGTCAGAGTTGTGTTTTCTTTGATACTGGTGGCATAGAAAAAACAAACCACCTCCCACCTGTGGTTGTGTTGATTTTTTACACAGCACTAATCCCTTCTCATCTTGCATCTTCCAAAATTCTTCATACAGAATAAACAGTACAGTACTGTACTGTACTTCTAATAACACTGATTAATGATTGCAATAGTGCTACTAGGTCTGATACCAATTTTATATCTATCCATAACAACAAGGAAACCAATTCTTCCTGCAGTAAATATGCCTGTTGAAAAACACCCGTTTCTCATTATTTACTAGATTGTGTGTGTTCAATAACTTGATAAATCACATAATTCAAGTAATACATGATAATGTTTGAAATGACGATTGGTTTACCTGTTATACTTCATTACACCCATATAGTTGTGAAAAGCACACAAACATAATCTACAATGGTGTTGGGGGTCCAGGCTATGACATATGGCCTAATTGGCACCACATGGCTCTAATTGGAACTCAAATAATTTTACCTGCAAATCGTCAGAATTTCACAACACTGCCCATTGATTTTAGGACCTTTACAAGGAATTTCATCACTACATCCAATCCTCTCAGCACATCCAATCTTCTCTAATGACACTCACCCTTGTGTGACAGTTTTCCACAATCTCATGTAGGTCCCGTATACGTTCTTCACTCTGGTATTGCACTTTTTCTTCCATGTCTGACATATTAGTTACAAGATTTCCCATCTCATTTTGGTGTAGCTCTGTAAGATCATTTATTTGTTCTTCAAGTCGATCACATCGGAAACGCTCTTCTGCTAATCCATCACGCATTGAATTCACTTCTGCTGCTAATGTTTGCTGCAAAATGTAAGTCATTATAATGTATTACCAAAAAGACATATTTTGAGTAAGTAAATAAAATAATCCAGCAAAAAATTTAGTTTTTTAACTTTTAAAAAGCCCATTTGTAATCAAATTTATTACGCCACTGCCAAAGGTATAGATTCTCAGTGCTTTCTCAACCCCATGAAAGTTATGCAGGAAAATGTGGTACCAATGCTACAAGGTCCTATGTACAGTTTACTTATTAGTGCTAACTTATAAGTGGCTAAGAAGGAGTGAAATCTAGCTCTTTGCAACTGCAAAGGTCAGATAACCGTGGATGATTAATTTTCCATTATTTACAGAAGGTATCCTGTAATATATAGCCACCTAGGGGAAAAGCTATACATGTTTAACTTGAACTGCTTAGTTAGGTACACATTTTCCCAGCCCCCAAAAAATGCTCCCTCCAATCTGTCTGCACACCTGCATTCACATACTCCCAGACCAGAAACTGACCTTGGGCACCATGATATGGAAAATTGTTGTCACATCATATAGTCGTCCAGTTTCATAAGTAATGTACTTGTATAAATACAGTACAGTATTATAAACTATCAAATGATGGGGTCAGATATTTTGTCAGGGAATAAAGTAGGATATGTAAATATTTTTTAACCTAGTTATGATGATAAGAGGAGACACCAGGTTAACGAGACTTTTCTGGGAAGGTTCAAATAATCTTAATTTATCAATGTGGAGGCTGACCAGAAGGGTTGCACTCATGTTTTGGTAGGAGGCGTAAGGAGATTCAACACTTTCGCTGCCCCAGCGGTGACCTGCCGCGCACCTCAAGGTCGACCGAGTGGTGCGCATGAACTCACCATCACCCACAAATGTTTATACTCTTTTTAGCTTTCTAAAAAGCTAAAAAGCCTTTTTTTTTATACTCTTTCTGACCTCAATTTTCATGCTATGTCGTTCAATTTGATATCACATTGTTCGCAATAGAATTCTCCAAATGAATATGTGCATACAAGAACATATAAGTCTCACTTTCCTATACTTTAGACCCACCGCGCACTGCAAGGTAGCCCGAGTATTGCCTAAGAGTTTACCACTGCAATGTTTATACTCTTTTCAACTTTCTGACCTCAATTTCCATGCTACGTCATTCAAATTGGTATTAAATTGTTTGCAATAGAATGCTGTGAAGGGATATTTTAATATAAGAACACATAAGTCTCACTTTTCTATACTTTCTAAGAAAACTCAGTAACTTTTCCCTCATACGTGCTTCTTTCAATGCTTTTGTCATGGATTGTCTCTGTTCTTGATCAGTATCTATCCGGAAGTCAATCTGCAGTGTTTATAAAGCCAGCAACAACAAATACCCGAGATAAAATAACCAGAATGAGGAAACTTCTTGACTCGAGGGGAGGCTGCGGCTGTCACGAGCAAGGTCATGAGAACAGTGAGCCTCCTGCGGGGATGGGCGTCCACATGGAGGGCTCAGGATGCCACGTAGGGGATACAGAGAATGGGAAGAAGTTGGCGCTCATTTTAAAACAAGTTCCATAGTATTCGGACAATAAATGGAATTTGTACAAATTTTTAAGTTATTGACTCCGTTTGTGTCATGTTGCATACTCCGTATTTTGGTTTCATGACGGAATGTGTGTGATCGGGCAGTGAAAGTGTTAAACAACATATGCAGTTTGTCAGTAGTAGAGATGGTGGTGATAATAAGGAATGGCTTAATAATGATCAACAAGAATTATCATAATCATTATGAGGGATGTACAAACATTTCCAAAGATGAGAACTACAAAACACCAAACTCATGAACAACTACAAAATTGTACACAAGCACCTATGTTCATAATGAAAATAAACATTTAAATGAAGTGAATTTATGTTTAGAGGTGCAATGAGTACACTGTATATTGTACAGCCATATATTAATTTCATGAGTAGAGCATCTTATGAAATCCACTCGAGAGATATAACCATGACTTTTTAAGGCACAGTAATGACCAATTAAGACAGGTCATTAACATTTAAGCATTCTGTTATCAATATTCTTAGTTTATACTTTTCTTTAGCAGTATCTGTTGTTGATGCAGTAATCAAGTTTTTGAATGTTTATTTACTGAAAAAACTTACTTTTATTGTATCAATCTCTTCTCTAAGTCGTGTTGATTCTTCCCGACTCTCTCGTAGCTCCATCAGCAGCTGTTCAATAGTTGTTCCTCCAGGTAAACCATAAAAATCTACACTAGTTAACTGTAAAACAATGACAGGTTATTTTATCTACTCTCAGCAAATTAAAAAAAAAATAATAACAAAAATCTGCAAATTATTATAGAGTATTTAACAGTCCCAGAGAAAGTAGAGAGCCAAAATGAAACAGTTTTGAAACACTGTTCACATCAAAGTAAAAGAGTGAAGAGCAAGAGGCTGGACTACTTTCACTTCACTTTGGTATAAATCAAGAACGGCTAATAATAATAGGCTTTCCTTTACTTTATTACAGTACAGTACCTCTTTCTTGTCTAACTACAGCATATTTGTTGTTGTGAAATCAGATTCATTCCTGGTAAGCTTTCAAATTTGTTTAGTTTTTTAAGCTAATTTATATACTGTATTATAAATTAATTGAAAGCTCAGGCTATGTTCTTGAAATTGCACTGTAACCTGATTGATTTGAACATACAGAATTATTGAACACACAGAGCATATAAAAATAATAGCTTATATGTCCTATACATTTCAAATAGAAACGTATTCTATAAATACTGTAAATTTATAATAATCTCTAAATATATAAATTGGTAACACTGTATTAATAGTCATCATCAATCATCATTACAAAGGTTCTCATTTTGATGGAGTACAGGTGGGGAAAGAAGAAAGAGGGATCTGCCATGAAACGATGTGGAAGCAATATAGAAAAACTGTGTTACAAACTACAGCAGAATCAATAACCAAGGTCTCCCAGATATACTTTTAATTTGCCTGAATTTACACAAACCGCTTGGGCTGGACGGTAGAGCGACAGTGTTCAATCCCTGACCGTCCAAGTGGTTGGGCACCATTCCTTCCCCCCCCCCCCCCACCGTCCCATTCCAAATCTTTATTCTGATCCCCTCAAAGTGCTATATAGTCACAATGGCTTAGAGTTTTCTCCTGATAATTACCTTACCTGACTTTAATCGAGGACCACCATCTTTAGTGGCCTCTATTGAGACAGAAAAAGAAGCAAGTGGTTTGTCAACCCCCACACACATGCATAATTGGTTTCCTGAATTAGGTAAGGAGGAATGACACATGTAATATAATGCAACTCTCCCCTTGAACCCAGATACACTGAAACACTCATCCCTGGCAAGGATAAAAGATCTCCAGTATAGATGAACAGTGACAGAGTAATGCATACATACCCACAAATCACAAAGGTTTAAGAATTACAAGAAACGACACTGGATGTACAGCCACAAATTATTACAGTAATGGGGAATACAATCTTCACAGGATGATACTTGGAAGAGAAGCGGAACAGTTGCTACACTTATACTGTAGTCTTGAGGGAATACCTGTGATAGAGGTAGCCACTCTGCAGAACTACTGTACATAATTGACATAAATGGAAACAAGAAGTGGATTAGTGGTACTGTATAACAGTAGTCATATATAATCTCATAGCAAAAGGCTCATAAAAGAATACAACCCCAAACTGTCTGAAGGTCATGGAAAGGAAGATAACAGAGGCAACTACAGTACTGGAAAAATGCCAATTCTCAATGACATTACCAACATGAAAAAAATTGGGTAACAATATTTTCACAATAGGGATGATACATATTGAAAAATGTAAGTGAATAAGGAAATCTGGAGACAAAATATTATATATTCAACAAGTATACATAGATTAGTCTACAATAGTAAACCATGTGATCACCCACAACAATGTGAACACTGAGAAGATAGAATAATGTGTTGTATCTAGTGTTTGTTTACACCTACACATATGAAATGAAAGTGTTCAGCGTTTCAGTCCATCATAGACCCTTATAAAGTCGTATCACTTTCATTTCAATTCAAGCGTGGGTCGGGTTATTTTTTTAAATGGATATTAACATACAAAAGTACTGTAATGAGTATGCTGACTACCTGGCTATGGTGGTTCCTGGGCGATGCGAGGTGAGCTAAGGTAGTGCTTCCTCCCGGAACACTTTCACTGGTGATGGAAGAATTACACTCCGAGCCTTCTTCCGAGCCAATCTTGCTGCCATGGTGGCCGCCACCACTGCTGCTGCCACCTGCACCCTGAGCTGAAGAACCCTGGTGATGACTGCTGAAAGTAAATGATTATGAGCAGCCTGCATCATGTAAAAAACACACACAATATTTAAATACAAAGGTACTGAAAGGGACAAATTTCTAACTCTATGAAGGAAATTTGCAAAATTGTGGTTATTTCTACTTAAAGTGATATTTAAATAGAGAACAATTAAAGTTTGCCCTTGGCGTTGACTTAAGCACCTCAGGAAACTCGACAGTCCAGTATGCAGATGCCATTCGAGTTGTTTATGGAACAAAACATGGCAGCAAGCATGACATGACAAAATGCACCGGAATGCACATAACCGAGGAGAAACACTGATACAAATAGCTTTTTGTATTCATAAAACAATTTTATTTGTTTCTGTATATTTTTGCATAAACTGTAGCTGATGAGTAATCAATAATCTTGGAAGTAATATAGTGATTTATTTGGGATCGGTAAGAGTGGTTTTTGTGAAGTTTAAGGTAGTACATACTCTCTTATGATGCTGTGACTCATGAACCAAGATGAATTAATTGGGTGAATGCATCATTTTAGTTATTTCTGAGAAATATGTATTATATATATTTTTTAATTACAATACATTAAAAATATTGCTCACTGCATTAATATTGTACACACAATCAAATATCATTGGGCTACTGTTAAAGATTGGCGCCCAGTCAATCCTCCCCAGCCAGGATACGAACTCAGGCCAGAGCGCTAGCGAAATGCCGGGTGAGTGCTTTACCACTGCGCCACAGGGACTGCATCTACAATAAAGCAGACTGCATCTGCTTTACCACTGCATCTGTGGAAACTGATGTATTTCTTTTTTGTAGGCAAACAATATCAACTCTCCTCTATTAACTTGATAAAAAAAAAATTATCTTGCCAACATTTACTTTCAATCTAATTATTGTACAAGATATAAAGCTGTATTAATTTGTATTATACTGTCAATTAACCCTTTCACTAAACCTTTATATTTAGCCGAGAACAGCAAGGTGGACCTGCAGACCACTGTACTGCGCAGAGCACCTTAAGGTACTCTGAGAGTTGTACTTTTTTTTGTAATTAGGCTATATTTTAATGTTTGTTAATGTTTTCATCACTCTTAAATGAAAATGGTTGAGTTTGGAAACATTTTGACATTAACTTTACCTAAACATTTATAAAAACAACAGAAATATATCCTTAACGATTGCACTATGAAGTTTTTGCCTAAACCAAGTGAGCAGTGCAGTGGTGAGCACTTAACCTAACCAATGTGGACTGTAAACATTCCCACAATATTTGTGGCCTTTGTTGACCAATAAAGTAATTTCTATACAGGTACCAGACCACACTGAACCGACAGCTTCCAGCAGTTTTCTGTAGAATTCTTGATGCTGTGTTGTGAGCTGTATGACCTAATATCATAGGGCTAATAATTGTTAAAATAAACTGACACAATTTCCCATTGTGTTAGGTGGGAGGGAACCTGGTGACAAGATTACGACCCTTTGATTGTGTACATAATGAGTCGTCGGCACTAATTTCTTACATTTTCTGATTCCCAGGATGGATGTATAGCTTAATGAATCAAGTAAAACTCCTCTGCAATTTTTAATCTCATAACAAAAAATCTAGAAAAAAGGGCAAAGGTACTGAAAATACAAGAAACTTGTGAACTGGTTAATAATAGTAAAAGCTTTGAAATTAATTACAATACAAAGATCTTCACATTGTGTATACAGGACAAGGTACACAAAGATCTTCACATTGTGTATACGGTACAAGGTACACAAAAATCTTCACATTGTGTATATAGTATAAGGTACACAAAAATCATGCTTGTGATTCCAATAAACACAACTGACTACTTCTAGGCAACGTACTTAAAATATTTATCCATCAAGATATTAGTCTTTGTTGTGTAATGTCCCATCATGAGACACAATCCTAGTACTGTAGTTATAAACAGAGCAGAAAATGTGACTCTCCGAAGCAAACTCTCATCAGATGCATTAAAAATAGATTAAATAAAAATAATTTCTATATATTCTTCTGCTTAGGTGACAAACTGCATTAAATAACATCTATAACAAAAAAATAGAAGCACATATTTTAAATCTAGTTATTCAAAAGTGTCAGTACACCATATTTGCTGGTAGATAGGATGTACAGCTTTGATCCATCACCTACTGAATACATTATATATATATATATATATATATATATATATATATATATATATATATATATATATATATATATATATATATATATATATATATATATATATATATATATATATATATATATATATATATATATATATATATATATATATATATATATATATATATATATATATATATATATATATATATATATATATATATATATATATAAATTGTATTTACACGAACAACTCGAACATCACTTTCATTACATAAGAATCATACTAAAATTTTTGTTTTCCACAAAATATTCTTGTGAAATAGGTGCATACCTAGAATGTGTTCTGGGAGTTCTACTCCCCAAGCCCAACCTGGGGCCAGGTTTGACTTGTGTTAACTTGCTCCAACAGGCTGTTACATGGTGCAGCCAACAGGTTCACATATTCCACATATGCATCTTATATGCCAGCAAAAATGGGAAGTTTCTTACAAAAAGTCAGCAAAGCATGCAAAGCAGAATGAATAACAGCTCAATAGTAAGTGGCTCGTAAACTTCAATCTAATATGAAAGCATCACTGCAAGGGTGAATAAGTCTCCTCGAAGAAATCTGTCAAAATGGCCCCATTCATTAGATATTTCACTTGTTCTCCAATATGTACACTGCAACCTATTGTTACGATTTCCACATGTACTGTGGCAATCATAACAATGTTTGGCAGAGTACAATTACCGCTATGGTCATTTCTTTTAATTTCAAAAAGACGTAATAAAAAAAATCCATTTACGATCCTTGTAATGTTATCCTGTTAAAGTACATGGAGATCTTTCTTTTCAATTTTAACTATTTTAATTTTTAACTAATAGGCACGAGGCACAAAGTGTCATAAAATATAACACTGGTTAATTAAAAATGAAAAATAAAGGATTCAATTTCTACAAAATTGTTGTATTTTAAAGAATAATCCTCGACTTATTTCTAGATGCATCCGATGTCTTGTTTTTATATACAGTAGAATCATGAAAATAGTTAAACAAATATAATAAGTGGCATGCAATACAATTTATGCAAGAAGGTTGCAAACCACTTGTCAATGAAGCGTTCCATAAAACCTTAATACACCTCTCCTCTGGTGCTACAAACTCTAGCTAACTTCCACACTTTTCAACTTCATTAAAGTCCCATCTTATTGAGAGAGGGAAAGATCATTTGAAGATTATCTACACACAACTGCTATGAGTACTGGACTTGATACCTCTTGTACATGGCTTAATAGGTACAGTATGTATATTCCAAATTTGATTTTGTCATCACCACCCTCTTGAGTCATGGAACCGCTGCACTAATTGAAATACTTTAACCAAGCTTAATAATACAAGGTATAATTTATAAAGAAACTAATATAATTTACCTTGGGAGATTGCTCCCTTGATTAGAGGAGGTAGGAGGCACCAAACTTGCACCTACGGGTAACGTAGCTGACCCGTGATGCACCCGCTCCTCATCACGCTCCTCCTCCCCTGCTAGTTCCTTGATATTGTCCGCAGAACCAAATTTGTTTTTGATCAGATGTGCTATCTCCTTAGGCTTACTGATCACTGTCCTAAAGAAAGAATAATATTCTGCACTGTACTTGGATTCTGTACTTCCTACCAATTGTATTTTTTGGTATTGAATGCATAACAAAGATATGGCCAAAAAGTGCACTGGTTGCTCGTGAATACACTACCAATTATTACCTTATTACAGTTTTAATCCTTGGATGAATTCACAGCATAAATACCTTTAGCTATCGCGTATAAAATATAGTGACTAATCTATTGTATGTACCTTTGGGCTGGAGAGGTCCCAGTAATTAAACATGAATATTTTCAATCCCACTACTGAACAATATATTAGGTTCAACAAAAGGCAATAATAAAATAGACTAACATTAGTGATAATGGATAAAAAAGTATGTCACATCATCATGCTTTTGCTCTTAATTAATTATACTTAAATTTATATACCGTAATCACATTTGTTAGCCTTAATTTATTTTATTCATAACATAAATTTTGTCCCCATTTGGTAAAATTTACTCATAGTAAATAGGAGTTGCCACTTTAAGCCAAACATTAATGCACGAGATTTCATGACCTGACATATTGATACAGACTAATTTAATGACCCCCGAGTGATCACAGGTCAGCAGTTACTGAGGAAGTGATATTTTATGCCCAGAAGGGGCTAGCAAGAATGATGAACAGCTGTGCTGCTTGGTGGCACTTGCTGCTACACTACTAATGTAAACAACTGCTATCCTTATACAAGTGAGTGAATATAATAGTGGGAAAGTTACACACCATAAAACCAAATAATGAATTGGAAAAAAAAATCCAAAACTGATGATTATATATAAAATAAATGTTGTAAAAACACATCAATTATGTACTCGTGTACACATTACACATATCAGCATACTGATATTACGCATTCCGAATGACAACTAAAGCCACTTTGATTACCATGATTACTTTCATACGTCACAAAGTATGAAAGCAGAAGTACAGCCTGTTCATACTACCCAGGCACCAGATCTCAAACTCTATATTTTATTTATTAAGGAATTACAAAATCTCTGTCACAGGCCTTAAATCTCTATGGCAATAGAATTTAGATACCAGTGACAGCCTCTAAAATCTAGAGAAATAGCCAAATTTAAAATGGAGGCAATAAAGAAAATGCAAAAACTATAGACAAATAACAGTATCACCATTCAAATATTTAGACAAATACTAAAATGCCCATGAAATGCAAGCAAAGCCCATGGAATCTCAACACCTAGACAATCCAAGCAGCAAGAGCCTAGAGCCCAAACACCCCTCCCTTTAAATTAATAACATCAGAAACACTATGATTATGATAGAGTTTTGGATGCACTAAAGGACAGCAAAATGCCAATGAAATATATGCAGGCTTAGCAAAACCCAATTATAAATACTGTAGTGTATACCAACAACTGCATTTAAGTCCGATATAACTTAACAGAAAATATGCAGATATCATTAAATACCAGCATCTACTCAAACACCCAAGGTATTGGAGTCCAGGCAAGAAATATACAATATAATCTAGGCCTGGGAAATACTGGAGATAATGGTTCCAAATATAAAAGCTGAAATAAAATAACATGAGAGCCGGAGGCACAGTATAATATGCGAAACAGCTAAAATGAAGGCGGAGGAGTAATACTGTACATCAAGACAACTCTCTAATCGTGGCTTTCCAATATCCTCCTTTCAACTTTAGGGGAATTCACTAATGGTCCACCTGCTCTTTTTGGAGAGAACCTAATAAATTGCACCGAGACGTCTCTCATTGGCCATGTAGTAATGTCTTTGTTACACTAAGAGCTGCAAGAAAGAAAAACTGCTAGAACAAAAATTTGCAAGAATTGAAAACCAAGTACAGTAGAAAAAACTCAACTAGAAGGCCTAGGTCACTAGTGGTAAACAGTGGTAAGAGGAAAATGACCACTATACACAGTACATTGTACTTTATCTCAAGTTATCAGTAATTACTACAGACATTCATAAGTTTTGTCAAGAAAAATATAGGTCAGAATAAACCTAAATCTTTGATAGACAATTTAATTTTCCTGACAAAAGGTTGAAAAACTAGGAACAATAATACTTTTTTTAATTCCTTAAATATTTCCCTTATTGTAATTATTTTTAGACTATTTTTATATCTACTTCGAATATGTGACAAACCGCCTAACTCTATGTCACTATCTCTACCACTACCAGCATTCAACAGTAGCACACTATGGCTCAAACCTGTTTCAATGTCAATATCCTATCTATCACCAACCTCTGTAACCAAGATATATTACATATATATTTAGTCACCATTCTGTGTGTTTGTTGCAACTTTACAAAACTTTATTGAACATCAGTACTGTAATAGAAATCTAAGCACAGTGATGACTATCCACACCTTACACCATCTGAAAGTGCCATACCCATATGCTGTTTTGCTTGCTCCTTACTCAAGCAAAGAATTTCACTTGCACTTTGCCTTTCTTCTTCAAAATTTTGTCAAAGATTTTGCAATACTGAAGCATTATTTATAAAATACAGTAACACAAATTAATAGCCAAGAGGACACACAATGAGCATAAGTAGATATTCATCCAAGCAACTATAGGTTAGAATTAGCTAGTATTTTTAACAAGGAAAGCATTTCTGATCCTCTTATACTGTATAGAGTATCAAAGAGTACTTACTTGAGGCCCTGACCCATATCTCTTAACACCTCCTTGGGCTGCCGGTGAGCAACAATCAATCCATGGGTTTCAATTTCACGTAATCTCTTCTGGTAATTTTCTAGCTTCTTTTGAAGTTGTTGAATAAGAGCAGCCGATTTCTGGTTCTTTTTCTCGAACACGGCCTTGATACGAGCCATTTGCTGACGATCAGCATTAGCAGCAAGTTTAAGGTATTCATTGACATTTTCTGTAATAAGTGAAAATTTATGTTGTGAATCAATACTATGCTTACATGGTACATGAAACTTTATTTAAACAAAGCTCTAGAAGGTGAACAACTGTGATAAATTTTCTTCAACTCCTTATGACTTCTTACTGATTATTTTTTTTTATGCTTGTGGCTTATGTCTGTTTCTTCTACTTCCCACACATCTATGTTTGATGAAATAGTGGTTATTCTGTTTTCTAAATGGAAACAAATGGCAACTGACTCATTGTTGTGATGGTCAAACCAGTGCAGTTGCATCTTTAACAAATGTTATGAGTTATCCTTTAAATACTGAACACTTAAAGGTGGCTGAAATGTCTCAAGGCGTGTCTACATAAGCCACAGTGTTAAGGAAGGCAAGTGTATGCAAACAAAGAAGATTACAGAGGCATAATTATTTTTAAAATGTTCATAGATATCTTAGCCATAGTGTGTCCCAGAAGGATTAAGGCATCAATTTTTGTTTTGTTCTAATCTAAATTGTTACAGCTTATATAAGCCAAACACCTTGTAGAGGTTTGATACAGCATTTACAACTAAAACATATACAGTATTACAAATGAAGCGTGCTCTCATCTTAGGGTTTCTCTATATTTTAGATGATGCATACAAAGAATTATTCGTATGCAAACTGCACACACAACACCATTATATATGACATTAATCTCTCATCTCAGTTTTAGTACACAATGCATTTTTAAAAAATCCCCACATTAAATTATCAATAAATATTCCCATTGTATCTTAATAACTAAATTGTGTGTAGAGAGAATAGTACAGGGACAACATTGTCTTTGAAGAAAATGATTACTGTATTCTGAAAATACAAGCCAGAAATAATGACCCTGATTTAAGCTTATTTTCCCAAAGCTCTAAAGAAGTGCCTGATTAGTGCTTTCCTCATCATGTTGTGTACCCACCATCTCTTGCTTTTTGCTCCTCTTTGATAAGATCTTTAGTTTTCTGAATCTTAGCCTGGATGTGCTCCAAGGCTTCTCGCGTACGCTGAATGTGTGGTGTGTGTTCCTCACCATCGTCCACAGTCCCAATATCTCCTCCACCAACTCGTAAAGCATCTACCAACTCCCCAGATCCATTAGACACTCCCGATGATGGTACTGTTTCCTGGAATATAAAATATATTTGAAAATCAATACTAGTAGAAATTAAAGTAGAACTTTCAATTGAAACAAAGAACTCACATTTTCAGTAAATACTTCCAGGTCTATCATGGCAAACAACTACTGTTCTTGACAAAACTTATGTGAATTTAATTTGGGAAATAGAAATATTTTTAATAAGCAATGTGTCTGGAGCAATTTCAATTCAAAATTTTCCATTTATTAAATATGCTATCAACCTTCCAATTTTGTTGACATCCTTTAGTACATAGCAATAATTACTATTACTGGTAAATATAATTTTTAAGCACTAGCAATTCAACTCATACTCTCCGTTGTCAGCTGGTGATATGCAGTGAACAATTATTATGAATTCAAATACAGTAATTAATTAGTCAATAAGATGCAGTAAAAGAAGCAGAGGCAACGAGCCACAGGACCTCATTTCATTTTGCAATGGTTCTGAACATAAAAAAAAAAACAGTCCAAAGGCGTGATGCTGAGCAAAGAGACTTGTCCCCCTAAGATTACTCTCGCTCTACTTCTCCCTTTCCAGCTTGCTGAGGTCTACTAGTAAACATCAAATTTGGTGTAATATTACAAACTAAGGTAAGTACTGGGATACAATCAGACATGTACTTGACATGATACTATTAAGACTGTGCTCGGATAATGCCAATGGGGACATTACAGTATTGATAGCTGAAGACTGCACTGGGTGGGGACTGTATTGGACAACATCATGAGAAGCTATACTAAAGACAGCATGAGGACTACACTGTTGGCAATGAGGAGAATGAGTTGGGGGTGAGGAAAAAGGACTGTACTAGAATGAGGGTAAAATGGAACTGTACTAGGATGAGGACAAGGTAAGGAAGAAAATACAGAATAGAGCCAGTGAAGAGCAGTAAATAAGTTCACCTGGCAGTAAATAAGCACCCAGGAGGTAAGCCAGTTTATTGTGGGGGCATCCTTGGGAGGGTCAGTAATTTGAAATAGGGGCTTGAAACTAATAAGCCTAGCATATACTGTATGTATAAACTGGCTGCCTGTCCCCCAGACACAATGAATTATTTGACAATTAAAAGAATACAGTAGGAACATCACAAAGTGTATTTTTAGTGCTATTTATATAGAGCAAATAGAAAAAACATCAGCCAAACTTCTTTTTTTGTCCAAGTTAATGTATTATATTGATTAAGCAAGGTTTGTTTTTATTTAAGTCGGTTGGGTTGGGATTAGGTTAGGTTTTGGATTGCTTTGGTTAGGTTTAGTTGAGCACAAGCAGCTAACTCCATTTATCCAAATGTTTTCAGTATGTAAGCAATTTATGAGGAGGGCTGAGCGAGCAGACGTCAATCGACCATGGTAGCGGCCAGTAGTACCCCGTACCCAGACGTGTGGGCGGTAGTGGAAAAGGTTACAGAGCCCATTATGTGTGTCTGTAACCTTTGCAACTACCATGCACAGTATGGGTTTGGGGTGCATAATAAATGAACTAAAAGCTTGAACACTCAAGCAGCGTAGTGTACAGTGATTAAAATATAGTAAGCAAAGCTTGTTCAACAATAAGAAAAAGTAAACTTGGTATATAAACTTGTCCGTGGGGCCGTAGTATAAAGTGAAGGTACCACACGCAGAAGGTACCACACTAGACAAAAAGTCAGAATAACCTTTGCAACTAGTCTTCAGGGTTTTGCCTGGCATGACAGTAATCAACCAGAGAAGTGGTGGTTGTTAGATTCGCTACCTGTAACAAAAAGTTCCAAGTAGCACGGGCTATGGCGAGCCCGTGCTACTTGGGGTTTAGCTCTTCACATACCACTTCTCTCAAAACGTTTTGAGAGAAGTGGTATGTGGAGAGTTTTGAGAGAAGTGGTATGTGGAGAGCATCTAACTTACAGCATCACAGTCCTCGTTGGAAGAGTGTGCTGGGGCGTCATCATGGTGCCCCGTCGGGTTGCCCAGCCGGGATGCTGCGGCTCCACCACCTGTTCTGGGCTGGTGTAAGGTGGTCTGGCCTCCTACCCCTCCAAGGGCCCCGCCTCCCGGGGTCGAATTGTTAGTGGTGTTGTTAGCGGCGGTAACTTCGCCGGCGCTGGCGCCTCCTGCCGCAGGAGTCGACTTGCGGGCGGCCAAGGGCGAGCGCCGTCGCCCACCCCCATGGCCGGGGCCTCCCACTTCACTCGAGCTGCACTTTTTCCTGTACGCACAAAATACACATCTTTAGTTACTAATTTGAACTAAAATTCATTAATCAATCACCTCCCCCACCCTCCCATCAACAAGTTTGTCAGGGTTATCATGTTATTCACATGACAGCCTAACGTAATTGTTTTGCTTATTGGTGCTGTAAATTAAAATTATCATACACAGTGTTGTAGGCTGAAATGAATAAAAAAAGCAGTATTGCAATTGTATTTTACTCAGGAAAAATGGCAAAGCATATGTACAATAGGAAAAAAATAAATAACTACATTAAATGGAAGCAAACAAAAACAATTAAAAGAATAATGATAGATGAAGTAGAAAAGTGTTAGCAAACGCCCAACTGGAAAGGAAACGATTTTTTTTATAGCAATGGATTGATAAGATGTTCCTGTTGATGAAAATACGACAAGTGGTATGTTTTCCAAGACTTCATTGGGAAGTTGACCAGACCACACACTAGAAGGTGAAGGGACGACGATGTTTCGGTCCGTCCTGGCCCATTCTCAAGTCGATTGTGACTACTACATTGGTAACTACTAATTTCATTGGTAACTACTACATCCTGCACTGTTGTTACCAGTGACAACTTACATCTTTGTGACGGTATAGTTACACTAAACACGAAGGTCACAATACCACCAGAGGCTCTCAAGCTGTGGTCTTGGGTAACTTTTGTTTATTTTTTGTTTGAGGTAGAGATGGTTCTATGTTAGGTGCATTCCTCTATAGTGAGGTAAAATAACACTAACACTCATAACAACAAGGGGGGAAGACATTAACAGATCAACTGTTGAGGTGCAAGTGATGTGAAAAACCCTTATCCGTTGCCATAACATCGCGCACACAACCCTTATTTATTGTCATAATATAGCAGACAAACCTTATTCCTTGCCATAATATGGCAGACAAACTTTATTGCAGACAACCCATATTTATCGCCATGATACAGCAGATAACTTTCATAACATACAAAAATACAAAAATGTTGTAAGTTTCAATTCGATGCAAAGAGGCGTTTCAATACATATTTATGGAAACTGCCGATTATTTGTATTATTTACAGAATAACAGAATATTAGCTGTTAGTGAGACACCTCTAGCCTTCAATATACATTGAAGATATCCAGAACCTTTCCTAAAATTTAAGCAGTTGAGGCCCATCTGATAACCTCCCCTCTCACCTGGGCGAAAATAATAGAACATTCTAGTATGCAGCCTTATTTCACTTGGACGTTTTTTTTAGTCATAGATAAGTTTTGTCCTATTACCTACTCCCAATCTATGAGAAAAAAGTTAGAAAATATATGTTATGAGAACTGGAGACAACAAAATAATTTAATTTCGTTAAGAATTACATGAAAAAAATGAATGAACAGTGATCGTCATCTCTTCCTATAACCCCCCAAAAATGTCTAAGCTAGAGGGAGAAAAGCGAGAATATAAAGCGAGAATATAAAGAGGCCGCGTTCCACCCATGCCACTGAAATTCTCAGCGGTGCAGGGGTCTCCAACTCTTAATAAAGATTCCTAAATATTACCATAACTATGTGGCTTAAATTTTCACTAAGTAATCCAAACAGTTTATCTTGCACGTAGCACAATATCACTCATGATTATATTGTGGTCTGACACAGCATGGCTGCCAATAATAAATACAAATCATATATTATTAATTAAAGTTATAATACTCGTGTAATAACCCTTGAAAACGAAGAAAATATTCCCGAGGAAACTAGCATGAGTGAGTGAGTTCCGGACAGAAATAAATGCACGCAAATCATGTATTTGTTGCTACTTTATATGTAACAACTGTGGTTATAATGTAGGTATAATGAGTACATCATGTAAGTGTAATGATAATACCGATATACTTTAGATATAATGCAAGTGTTCTCATGATATATTGCGAGTGGTACACACATTATATAATGCTGGTGTATTTAGGATATAATACTGTTGAAATAAGTATATATATACTACTGTACTGTAATAAAATAAGTATATAGTGTCTGTGTACCGAGGATATAATGCTAGTATAGAGAGTGAATTTAATGCTAGAATACAGTGTATATAATCTTGGTATACAGAGTATATAATACTAGTATAATGTATATAATGTTTGTATACTGAGAATCTAATACAAAGAATGTATTTTCTGTGTAATGATATAATGTTCGTGAGCTACGGAAATGAAACTTATGTGAAGACAAGCTATAATAGTACTTATGTACTGTGATGGGCGTGGGTGGTGGCGGGCATGGGCGGTGGCTCACCGTGGGTGGTGCTGGGCGTGGGTGACTGTCTCGAGGAAGTCAGCCAGGGAGAAGACAGCCAGGCGGGTGATGGGTGACACTCCAGGACCGTTGTCGTCCTCGCTACTGATGAAGATTTCGGGTATGGATGAGGTGGACGGAGACCGCGCCATGATGGGCGTATTGGGGCGAGTGTGGGCGTGGCCATGGGCGCGGAGATGCCCCGAGGGGGAGGTGCTCCGGTAATTGGGGTTAAGGGTGGCCAGGTCGGCAACCTCGTCCCGTTTGTCCAGGCCGCAGTCACTTTTGGAGCGGCGGTGGCCGCCAGGACCCACCACCTCCGGCAGCCCGCCCAAACTTAGCATGGCGGGCGTGTCCCCGCCGCCTTCCAGCGCGGGCGGGCGTAGCGATACACTGTGTGGTGGCTTGGGTGTGGGCGGCTGACCACTTCACCAGTCACCCCCAACACATCCATCACACAAGCCACAACTATGGCCTCTGTCTCATGTTTATTGCACTTTTAGTTACGATCAACGACGCTGACAGCAACGTCAACACCTGACGGATGTATCCACATCATGCTGATAAAACATAGTCTGGGGTGTTCTTAATATCCGTTAGTTAAATTCACATTCGTTATCTGCCTTATCAATATTATGTAACTTGAGTTATCTCCATATCAGCACCTTATCACTGTCACTCACCATGTCAAGTTGTGGGGAGACACATCCTCGACTACCCTGACCCAAATAATTTTCACAATATATACCTCAAATTAAAACCAAGACATAAATATTCCCGGGCAAGTTCCCTGTCACCTAATGCCTCTGTTCACCTAGGAGTTAGGTAACTGTCGTGGGGGATGAATTCCCGGGGGCTTGTCTCAACCTTACCTCTACCCCAGTGTACTATTACCCTTACGATTGATTGATTGATGAAGATTAAGCCACCCAAGAGGTGGCACGGGCATGAATAGCCCGTAAGTGGTGGCCCTTTCGAGCCATTACCAGTATCAAAAGATGATACTGGAGATCTGTGGAGGCGCAACTGCACCCTGCGTGACGGGAGATGTCTCCCGGACCAAGTGGTGACCAAATGGTCATTACCCTTACGAAGATTGATTGATGAAGATTAAGCCACCCAAAAGGTGGCACGGGCATGAATAGCCCGTAAGTGGTGGCCCTTTTGAGCCATTACCAGTATCAAGAGCTGATACTGGAGATCTGTGGAGGTGCGACTGCACCCTGCGTGACGGGAGATGTCTCCCGTGCACGATTACCCTTACCCTTCATGCTACCACTTATACGGGTTAGTCATGCCCGTGCCACCTCTTGCGAGGCCTACTCTTCATCAATCGTGCTACATACCATATCTCACCTCAAGATGTTCCTGGCAGGAACGAAACGTTTTCACATAATACATCACAGTCACTCTTGTTGTGTTGTATTCTCCTAAAACATGAATTTCGGTAACCTGATCAGCCAACTCGACACTCGCGTAAAAAGACTGCCAGACGCATCGAACGCCTTGACAGCAAAATCAACAACGCTATATCATTATATATTATATACACACCATGTTCCCCACCCCGGGAAATTATACATAAATACAGACACTACGGCTCCCCTCCCCCCCCCCCCCGCCTCCCACCGTACACACACACTGAAAATATAACATTTTCTACACTGTTTCATATATCAATAATTTGAGGCCGCGTATTTTCACATGTTGGTGTGTGAGGCGAGGACGGTAATCAGCGCGGGTAGATTACGTCATGATGAATCACCCGTATGGTCCTATCTGGACACGTCAGTACCTTACAAACCCAGACGAGAGACGAGACGCGCGGTCACCCACAGTAACCAGGACAATGTCATCATGCTCAGGAAACAATGACACTTGTTCCAGTCACCAGTCGGAAATAACAACTAATGTTGAAATACCAACACACAATATATACTTCCCTAACTCTCTCGTATACACTCAAAAAATGCATCGAATCGAAAATAAACAAAAATTATACAGTGTCTTTCAACAATGCCCTTTAATTCAGTGTACTTGACCCCCCTTCTGTTGTGTACTAAATACTGAATAATTTGAAGTGCTGAGTGCGTGACTCAACTGTTCCTCGTTGCTAGTCTGACTCAGAGCTTGCACGAATATCTTAAGAGTGCGAGATAAGACATCCACCCCCAAAAGCCCGTGACTAACGTAACAGTTTTGGACAAAAACATTAATGTACGTACTGGCATACCCTCATAAGGTGAAGGTGCAGCCCGTCCTCCTAAAGTTTCCCAACGTCAAGAAACTGTCGTACTAGAGCGCCCTTATCCTAACCTTCCAGAGGACCCAAAACAGAAAACGGGCCAGTACGACAATTTCGCGAGCCGCTATCATTTTCTAGTACGACGATTTTTGGCCTTTGGTAGAGTATACGTCAAAATGCGACGTGCTATTAGGAGGACGGGTTGCGGGTGACGCGAGGATGGAACACTGAAGTAATCGTGCCCCCCCCCCCGGAACACAGTGCCATAATACCTCTGCCTTAAGGGCTATTCATGCCCGTGCCACCTATTCGGTGGCTTAATCTATATCAATCGCCCTCTGCCATACCTTAAACTCACTTCTCAGAAGAAAACTTGAAAATCAATATTACATAACGTGGCAAAATATTTATATAGTTATTGACCAGAGGATAAAACAGAATATTAGTTATTGACCAGAGGACAAAACAGAATATTTCGGCAAAATGGAGCAAATCTCATCAGTTACAACAGAGCCCATTCACGTCTACCCTACACATTTATATAACACCATAATGTTGACCAGACCACACACTAGAAGGTGAAGGGACGACGACGTTTCGACTTGACTTGAGAATGACACAATCGACTTGAGCATGGTCCAGGACGGACCGAAACGTCGTCGTCTCTTCACCTTCTAGTGTGTGGTCTGGTCAACATTAGCCACGTTATTGTGACTCATCGCCTGCATAACACCATAATAAAGAGCCCAAAACCATCTTCGCTCTACACCTACGTTATTGCGTCTGGCTACGAGAAAATAATCGATATCAGTGAAACTTTAAAGACTGTAGACCCTCTGACCTATTGTACAATCATTTGCAACAATTTAATTGAAAATGGTATAATGAAAGACATCCCAACCATTTATCCTAAATTTGCTCGCCCACATTAAGAAGGAAGAACGGGAAAAAAAGGAAAACAAATTGTAGCTACATCTCTTATGAATCCATCCCTGCCTTCTGTACCAGTGAGTAAAGTATCCTCCTCACTGTAATAACACCTTTATTACAGGGACGATAGTTAATTACTGTACTCGGAATAGGCAGTTGTATATTCATTTTGTCAATAAAGATATCATTACTAAATCAGATAACCACTTTCGAGTCTGGTCCCGGGCCGGGCTCAGGGAGTAGGAGAACCCCCGAAACCCTCTCCAGGTAAGGTCTAGGTATGCTACCCGAGCGTTATCCACTAACACACACTATGCAACCAAGGACAAAAATGAGAAATAAGCAATATATATAAAGCATTACTGATATTAATAAAAAAAACACAATTCCGGATCAGAGACTCCTAGTTAATTCGCTTGGAATTAACAATACATTCCTGCTATATTGTGTGTGTATAATATATATAATATGTTTGAAGATGAGCAACAAAAGTTATGGATGAATTTTTAATTAAATACTAAAGTGAATACTAAAGTGGATACGCCTCCATGAAAAATGATAAACATTACAATGTCCCCAGGACCATTTGCTGCCTTCCCCTGCTGGCTCACACTGCGTCACGTAACTCTCACCTAATACCACGATGTCTATGATCCTGGAGACTCATCCCCGCTGTAAGTGGTCCTCACGCTCACACAACTGCTCATAAATAATTAGGTCCCTGCAAACAGGTCAGGGGGCCCAGCACCAGAGGTCAGGGGGGCCCAGCACCAGAGGTCAGGGGGCCCAGCACCAGAGGTCAGGGGGGGCAGCACCAGAGGTCAGGGGGGTCCAGCACCAGAGGTCAGGGGGGTCCAGCACCAGAGGTCAGGGGGGTCCAGCACCAGAGGTCAGGGGGGTCCAGCACCAGAGGTCAGGGGGGTCCAGCACCAGAGGTCAGGGGGGTCCAGCACCAGAGGTCAGGGGGGTCCAGCACCAGAGGTCAGGGGGGTCCAGCACCAGAGGTCAGGGGGGTCCAGCACCAGAGGTCAGGGGGGGTCCAGCACCAGAGGTCAGGGGGGTCCAGCACCAGAGGTCAGGGGGGTCCAGCACCAGAGGTCAGGGGGCCCAGCACCAGAGGTCAGGTCCTAGCAAGGGACCAACAGTGACTGTGGTGGGATAAGGGACACACCATAACATCACTGGCAATCCATGCAAGTGTAACCAAGCCCTCTGTTACACACTGTAACCTGGCACTCCTCGGCCCTCTGTAACACTGTAACCTGGCACCTTCAACTAGGACACCTCCCACCTGCACTACCACCACTCAGGATTCACAACCACAACCACACACAACAAACAATTACGTCAATACAAATTTCAATTTAAACATTGCGGATCACAATGCTATATTATTTGGCTATTTAAGGGATTGACATCGTTACAACAATATCATTACAGTAAGTCTCACAGACCAGTCAATCACCAGACAAGGCTGGCCACAGACCAGACAATCACCAGACAAGGCTGGCCACAGACCAGAATCACCAGACAAGGCTGGCCACAGACCAATCAATCACCAGACAAGGCTGGCCACAGACCAGTCAATCACCAGACAAGGCTGGCCACAGACCAGTCAATCACCAGACAAGGCTGGCCACAGACCAGTCAATCACCAGACAAGGCTGGCCACAGACCAGTCAATCACCAGACAAGGCTGGCCACAGACCAGTCAATCACCAGACAAGGCTGGCCACAGACCAGTCAATCACCAGACAAGGCTGGCCACAGACCAGACAATCACCAGACAAGGCTGGCCACAGACCAGACAATCACCAGACAAGGCTGGCCACAGACCAGACAATCACCAGACAAGGCTGGCCACAGACCAGACAATCACCAAACAAGGCTGGCCACAGACCAGACAATCACCAGACAAGGCTGGCCACAGACCAGACAATCACCAAACAAGGCTGGCCACAGACCAGACAATCACCAAACAAGGCTGGCCACAGACCCGACAATCACCAAACAAGGCTGGCCACAGACCAGACAAGGCTGGTCACAGACCAGACAATGGCCACAGACCAGACAAGGCTGGTCACAGACCAGACAAGGCTGGTCACAGACCAGACAAGGCTGGCCCAGACCAGAAGGCCCAGACCAGGAGGCTGGCCACCCAGACAAGGCCGGGAGTGCTTTTAAGGACCGGTGTGTAGCCCCACGGGAGGGACACACACACACACACACACACACACACACACACACACACACACACACACACCTCAATCGAGACAACTTCTCCCGGCACTTTTACTACAACCGCTCACACCAAACTCGACGACCATGGTCCTCACTTGTTTAACTGTGACCACCTACACGACCATACTTGAACAATTCCGAGAAGATATTTACTTGTAAATTGTATGTACATTCACTTGTAAATGTAAATTATCCATTTCAAACTATAGCATATAATTTTCTACTAAATTTAAGACACATTTAACAATACTTCGGAAGACCAACGCGTCCTTTCACTTTCATAAACGTCCACTAATTACACTACAAAATAATCAGGTACTCGAGTGTTCCTGGACAAGATTGTTGTTGTTGAAGATTCG